AATGTATTGGGTCATATGGGATTGTTTTGTTTTGACTCGGAATATTTTTATTGGTTTGCCAAAGAGGTTGATGAAAGCCTGGCCAGAGAATCATGTCCTCTTTTAAATATATAAAAGTTGAATAATTATTTTTTTTAATCTGCTTTACAAAAAAAGTTTTTTTGTGTAAATGTTCGATATTTTATCATGTCTTATCAAGGCATAAAGGGACTGTTTGAAGACTTCTCGTCTGAGTCAAAATGAAAGTCCAGAGCCATAAAAAGATACATTAAAGCTAACGTAAAACTCATTACTCATTATGAACTCATTATAATAGAAGTTTAATGATTTAAAGAATTATATCAGGTCTAAATCACAGGTTAAAAAAGTGCACTAATATCTTTAACAAAGAGGTTTTAAAGAACCAGAAATTACATTTACATGTTTACAGTTGCTGCTCCAAAAGACACAACATGGGTGTATAACTGGAAGTTAGGAAAAAGACATGAAAGTCCTTCACAGAATAGAGTGAATAACCCAAAAAGGAAGGAAAATATTTGGTGTATTCATAATGAAAGTCCTCCCTGTGGTGAAGCAATACGGACAGAGGGGAGGTAAGTTCTTTTTTGCGCTGGCAGTTTATGGACATTTATGGAGAAGAGCAGGAGCAAGAGCGGATCAACGAAATGCAGGCAGGGATTGAATCTGATTGTTTCCTTGTCAAGAGCTTATCATTGACAGATGGGAGTTAAACAAGGAAATTGTTACGGTTTTGGGAAGGGAAAAAAATTCCCATATTACATTAAATGAAACCTTTTACAAAGGAACAGATGGACACTGAGTAAAATAGCTGCACCTCATTTAAACAAAGGTTGACGGCTGTTTTAGACAAACAAAAGTGACACAGCATTTACACATGATCATAGAGTTGTGTTCCTGCACGTGACAGGAACACAACTCCTAGCCTGCAGAGCGTGACACCTCGCTCTGCAGGCTAGGAGTATTTCAGAAACAGTAACTTGTATAATCCTCATGCTATTTCACATTTTCAAACTTCCCTGTAAAATTGGCTCCCTTTCATTTGATAGCCTCCTATAAAATCCTCTCCAACCTACAAAAAACACCCAATTTCTAAATAAAGGCCATCACTATACGAAATCCAGCTGTCCTATCAAGCTGTTTATTTAACATTTGTCAAGAGACATCGCCAAGACAACCAGGCACCACACCAGTCAGATCAGGGGTAAAGCTGTGGAGAAGAAAGGACAAAAAAGGCCAATAGTAAAGTGAATGCTGCAAAGTCAGAGTGCAAACTCTGTGCAGTTGGATAGAATTAAAAGAAAGTTTCTTGCAAAATTCAATTAGAAACTGAACTTCATTGCTATGTATTACAGAGGTCTTAGTGTGCATATAACCAAAAAGACACCATCATCATCATCTAAAGACATGGTGCTGGAAGCATTTTTCTGCATGGATGCTTTTTTCAGTAAGAATGAGGTAAAAGGAAATAGGAAGTTGGATGGAGCTAAATACAAGGTGAACCTGGTAATGCCTGCAAGACGTTAAACTGGGATGAAGTCATTCTTCCAACTGAACTTTAATCAAACAATTAGAGCTAGAATCGAATGGTTAAAGACTATCCATGTGCTAGAGCAGTCCAGTTAAATCCAGAAATAAATCCAGTTGAGAATCTGTAGCAAGACTCCAATCAACCGTTTGAATTGTCATAAAGCTTAAATGGTTGGCAATGGTTGGAAGAGACGTATCAGTGAAGACTTGCAGGGGTAACTGCAGCAAATTGTAGTCTACAAGGTTATGAGGAGGGAAAGTCCAGCTTTGCAACATGCTATTCACATGCATGTTTTTGAGAGAAATATCTTCTTGGTTTTTAATCCAAAACACTGATAAATTACATTTAGCGTTTTAGTTGTAATATATATGAAAACATTCAATGGGTATCAGTTGTTTGGCAAAGCACCCTATATGTGCAGATCTCCAGAGCATAAAGAAAAAAAGGTTAAAACAGCAGCACCCTCCTGCAGGGAAGATAAAAACGTGTCATGACTTGCTCATGCTCATTCATTTGCTAAGGTTCAAATGAAACGGTTCACAGCAAAATATCAGACGCTACATGAGACACAGCTTTAATAACGTAGTAAAACAAGACCCAAAGTGTAAAGAAAGGTGCAAAGCTGAAACTTACGGATTAACAAATAAAAAGAGCACAAACATTAGTTATATATATATATTTATGGAATGCAAAAGAGGGCTATCTGCAGATCATTTTTATAACAACATAGAGTGACGCAATCTAATTCTGTCACACACTACACGGCACTGCCATCGCTTATTTGGTCTCTCCTCTTTTAACAGAAATGAAACTTATAGTGAAGGTGTGTGTGTCCAAATTAACATGGAGTATGTGATCATAATCAACAAGTCACAAGCTCTATATCTGAAAAACTGCACAGCACTGAAGGTAAAACTACAGAAATCCCAAATGAAACCCCGAAAAAGTCACGCAGCAAAGGGCAGAATATGCACAGTGAAACAGATGGGATGTGTTTCTCATTAGGCTGAAGAGCACTAGATCCAGCCTATTATTAAATCCCTCCCTCCGCCTGGCTGAGTTTCTTTTTCCCCACGAAAGCTCAGAAAGGGGACCTGATATGCATAGAATGCTTTCTGATGGTTGCATAAACTCTGACCAAATTCATGCAAAAGGGGGCCCAATAAGGGGTATATTTACATCTTGCAAGCCTGTTTCTAGTGAAAGAAGTGCATTCACATTTCACAGTAATCTAGATCTATGAGATGCAGAAAATGCACACAATTTATAGGGTAAACCAGGACTGCACACAAGTCTGGATCCTATTTAAAAGCGAAACGAAACCACTCTGAGCTCAATTTAACAGCCTGAATAAAATAATTTAGACCTGCCCCTTTAACTGACCTGACATGTTTCCTTAACTTTCTGTTCTTCCAGCTGGGAAGCTATGAAGCACCAACAGGTCGGCGTTTGGCTGTTTGTGTTTTCTTGGAAATACGATATCTAGTTTCTCTTTGAGTGGTAAATTTAGTCAGGAATGTTCTGACAAATCCAAAAGTAAAATGGGGGGTCAGGGTGGACAATATGGTGGATCACAAAGTAGTACAGCAACAAACAATAAAAAAAAATCAACATTTATCTGTGTGTTCAAAGAAATGTATCTGCATTATGGCAAAACAAAGAATAAAACAGATTTATGTATATCAAAATTATTATTAGCTCAAAGTTAGCTTTACATTTCCTCTCTAATCCACTCATTACAAAAATATTCTTTATCAGTGAGGTGTTCTCACCCTGAACAAAAGTCTGATTCCTTTTAATTGTACTACAGAAGGATAATCAGGAATGATGAATTACATCAAAAGGAAATTTCATGAGTGTTGATAGGAACAGGTCTGTCTGCATTTGTCAACTATGTTTGCACATACGATAATTAGATGACAGGCCTGATGGTCTTGGTAACTGCAAACAGCCGGCGGCACATTAACAGATGTGAGGCATGATAGGGTGTGCAATTAAACAAGGCAACTGTTGCTTAAGAAAAATGAAATAATGATTGTAACTCAGGAGTCTCTCTCTCGCTACCTATCTCTCCCTTTATATATATATATATATATATATATATATATATATATATATATATATATATATATATATATATATATATATTAGAAAACACATTTCTCAAGAAAAATGCTCAAATATAGCTTCTTCAATAGTTTCTGAGTAAAGATATGAATCACAGCATGTTTTCAGTGGAATTTGCGCTTTCAGTTGTGTTCTGCAGAAGAGCCTTCATTTTATAAAAAAACAGAAGTGGCCATGTATGACTTCATTTTCATGCCCTGAGTCAACTGATTTATCTGTAGTTCTTTTTTTTTCACATGGAACCTTCAGGGGAGCTTTGAATTTCAGTTTTTTATAACAGAAAAAAAAAATCACTGGATTTCTGAGTAACAGATATTAGCGAAAGGCAAGAAGAAAACAACGTACAATAATTTCCATGAGTAAAGTTTAAATGTCGTATTTATATGCCTGATATACAAAGTGCAGAATCTGACTGTTACAGTCACCACTGAAAAAAACACAGTTTTTTTTTTTAATTAATCACAATTGTTTTATGTCCTACTCTGCTAACGTGAAACAAATATTTTTAAGTAACTAAATATGATTAGGGCTGCTCAGTGCCTTGCAGCAAGAAGGTTCTGGGTTTGATTCTCGGTCCGGGGTCTTTCTGCATGGTGTTTGAATGTTCTCCTTGAGCATGCGTGGGTTCTCTCCAGGTACTCCGGCTTCCTCTCCACAGGTTAATTGTAACTTTTGGGATTGGGTCCTTTTTTTTTTTTTTTTTTGTCAATTAATAAAGACATTTTTAGAAAGATGTGGTGTTAATGTATTTTTTTAATAATCAAGGACAAGGCTCTGTTTATGAGTCTGTTTCCTAAAACTGGCCCCAGGCAAATGTGTCTATTCTAAATCTGGTTTTATACTTTTTAGTTTCTATTACACATGCATTTTCTTATGCTTCTTATGCAGTTTTGCAAATTTTTATTTCATAATTATTATTATTAATTCTGGTAGACCTGTCTGTGTGACTGTGATGCCTGCATCCTGCATATAATACATGCTTTTAAATGCGTGCATATGATAGTAATAATTACAAAAGCTGAAGCCATGGCGCCCAGACTTGGAAGTATTTAGGAAACACTCCAATTACTCGAATCTGTCACCTGTCTTTCTGTAAACGCCCTATTGTCATGTGGCTTTGCGGTTAAAACAGAGTTCAAACGAAGTGAAAGATAAGTCGGGATAAGAATCGGAGCAAAGAGTTTCACTTTCATTTTATGAGAAACTGTAGGACTGCCGCTAAATAACAGGAGGAGCATAAGTCACGTGGTGCTGTTCAGGGGACGGGCTGTGATCGCTACATAAAGACTGTGGCAGACTTCACACGCTCATACGGGAAAGCAAACGAGCCGACGGCTGGGAGCCACAGCCGCATGAGGATCTATAAGAGCAGAGGCTGAGAGCACAGCTGTCCTCTGACACCCTGCAGGATTATCTCCTTGTGTTTAACCATCATAACCTTGCATCTCTGGGATTACAGATTAAAGCATCCATAACAAGCAGCTGCTGGAAACAAAACGGTGAGGATCTCCTAAAATTATTTATATGCTAAAAAGGGATTACGATGGATTATTGCTTTATATGAACCTTTTGAAAGGCTGTTTTTTTATGGATCTTCTTGCAGTTGTTGTGCAAATCTATATTCTGTCTGCAGTCCTGCTATAAATGGATCAAATAAATGGAGTCAGAAAGTGAAAATCAGCAGTGCATTGCTGCTGCAAACATTCAGGATCATAAACTTCTACTAAAGGATAAATCCTGTAAAGCATTCATAATCTAAGACACTCCTCTTCGTGTTAATCATTATATTTTCCTGGAATTTTGCTCCAATTTCCTTTAACTTGCTGAGTGAACCCAGACAGTAAAAGATGAATCATATGCTGTATCAGACATGACTAGGAGAACCAGAGTCCTCTTTATTGGCTTTAAGTTGACTGCATGAATAAAGAATTTGGCTTTTGTATTATTCACTCATTTCAGCCACATAAGCCTGACAGCAGACTCTTCTCTTCCCTTTGGGGACAACCAGGATGTCAAATTATGTTTCCACCCTCAAATAGAAAAAAAATATTATATATATTTGTGTGTGTGTATGTTTCTGTATGGAGACCCAGTACAGTAAATTGGATGTGGGTTTACCAGCAAAACCACAAATTCCAGTCATATCAAGAACAGAACCGTCCTGTGGAAAGATTACATGACTAACATAATGCACAGCATCCTTTGATGTGTTTGGGCACTGATTCCCAGAATTGGGGTCTCAAGTTAACAAAAGTGAGGTTATAACATACTAAAATAAACAACAACAACAACAAAAAAACTGATGCATATCTATGTTATAAAGGCTGATGAGCCAAAAATACATTTTATTTACACTTTGTTTCCTGTTTTGTATTGTTTAAAAAGCCCTATGTCACTCCCAAGCTTTGCTTTTTGGGTTTAGATTAGAATAGAAAAACAGCAAATAGAATAGGGATACCTTTATTGTCCTACAGTGGGAAAATTAGGGTACTTGCTAATTAATTGCTTAATAACTAACCTGAGTTCTCCCTTTCTTTCCTTCAGGATGTCAGTGTGGTGGTTAGAGATGGGAGAGGTTTCAGGGCCTCTCTCCACTGTAGGATGGTAGCCGACAGCACAGTGGAAGGCCATGAGCAGACCGCCTTACCAAGCGCATCACCAGCACCATCATCATCACCTTCTGTGTCGTCAGCATCAGCATCAGCAACCCGTAAACAGTCGGAGCAGCTTCAGCGTCAGGCTTGTCCAAATCCAAGTCTGAAATCTGCATCTGCTCGCTCTGTGTACCTGACTCATTTCCGCACCTTCACCTCCAAAGAGGACTGCAGCCTAATCACAGACACAGCTACCAAGCTCGAGCGCAGCGGCTTCTACTGGGGCCCACTTGGAGTAGAGGAGGCCCATTGCATGCTCCGCAACGCCCCCCTGGGCAGTTTCCTCATCCGCGACAGTCGACAGAAGGACGTCTTCTTTACTCTGTCCTACCACGACAAGAAGGGACCGGTCAGCGTGCGCATCGACTACAAGCGGCAGAGGTTCTCTCTTGCTGGCAACGAGCGCTCCTTCCCAACGCTCTTTGCCCTTTTGGAGCATTATATGAACTCGCCTAAGAAGAGCCTGACAGTCCCCTACAGGAAATGGGAGCCCACCCTGCAGGAGCTGTGCAGGAAGCGGATCATGGAGGTGTGCGGAGGAAAGGGTGGCATTCCAGAACTGCCTGTCACACATGTGGTCAAAGATTTCCTGTTGGAGTTCCCTTACAAACTATGAACAGTCTGCATAATGTTTTGGCTGTTTTGTTCTTGATTTCAAGATGGCAGCTTTCACCAAGTAACGGTACAGCAAACGGGTTGATAAAGTCTCTGCATCAGGGAACTAAGGTAGAGACTACATCACCGTGGTTACTAAAAAAATCAACAAACTCTTTTTGGACTAAAAGCTGTGAACTGCTCCTAAAGAACCACAATAACCAAAGTCAAACACATGAAGCCTCCAGTTGGACATTAAACTTTCATGACATCTCAACATCTACTACCTCTAGAGACTTAAAACCCAATAACATGTGGAAGAAGCATCCTTTGGAAACGAGCAAGTATGAGAAGTTGAAAAGTGCTGCATTAAAGGGAAACTACACATCTATAGGAGCTTTTACAGAGATAAAAATACCAGTGAGCACAACTGGGACTGTTGCGGTGGAAAGTCAACAAGTTCCAATATCCCGTCGAGCGACATTAAGGGAACGGACTTCAAAATATTTAGAGTCGCTGTGGAGGGAGCGGTTGAAACCATCGCATGCTGATTTGCCTATGCGGCACAAATTTGTAGCAGACTTAAATACTCTAAAGAAAAAAGTTTACATCGTCTCTGAATGTTCATCAGCACTGAAGGCTCAAACCGCATTCAGTGATGGTCCAGGTGAAATCTTGTCGCAAACAGCTGAAGACATGATATTCATTTGTAATGTACTGTATACAGAGGTGCCGACCACCTCTTATTTAACTGTTTCTGCCAGGCAGATTTGATTGTTTATATATTTTCTACTCTTGTGTATTTTTAAAATAATATTTTGAATAAAATGTATTTAAGTGAAGCTTAAAGATTTTCCCCTTTCTTTTTTTTTTTTGGAGTATCTTTACCTTCAGTTGCATCTTATAATGGAAGTTTTGTTTGGGTCAGGTGGGAAGAGACATGTCGCAGGACAGACAGAAAGTGTGGAAGGTAAAATACAGTATCATCACCGCACTGACTCATCTCTGTAGGGCAAAGTGACAGGTGGGTGGGGTTACTTTGGTAGTAAATGAACTGTTACACTTTTAAAATCACACTTACCAGAACCAGGGGATGGGATGACACATACCAACGTGTGTTATAGTAAATCTATAAATGTGCGCACAGATTAACGTTTCTTCAAGAGGAAGTGGGATATCTTTGAGGGTTATTGGTTAGACGGGCATGCTGATCCAGATTAGACAAAGAGGCCTAATTCAGGGTTTATTGTACAATAAGAAAAAGGTCCAGAGGTTCTGCAAAGGCTTAAAAAAAAGTGGCATCTGAATGTCACATTTTAAAGAGGCCTTTTGTGTAAATATTGTGTAATGACAGGCGTCTCTGAACAAAGGATCACAATGCGTTTTCAGTTTAACAACAGATTTAATCAAAGTACATCTTCAGCCTCCGCTGAACACCTTTCCATTGTGGTGTGTCTGGCAGCTTTTTAAGGTCAAAAGATTTACCAGAAGCCTTACTCACCGTCATGGTGTTAATCAGCTAAAACTGATAGCTTCCTCAAGACTTTCAGGAAGTCTGAAACTTGTTTGAACAGAAACAATATAACAGCTGTTGTTCATTCTTGTCAGTTATGATGAATGGAGTCAAAGTAGTTTCCTGAACTTTAAAAGTAGAAAAAAAAAGCTTTCACCCTGTGAGAATCAACTTCAGCATGAGGGGAGAGTGGCAAAATGTAGAAACATCAGGCAAAATTCACCAAAACTTACCACGGTTACTGAATAAGGGAACAATTTATTGTTGATTTTTGGGTGCTAGCTCATTTATATAGTGATGGAGCTCACCCAATCAATCCATTTCCACCTTCTGAAATTTTTTTTAGTCATACTGTAATATCTGACCACCAACCTTAAATACAAACCTAATCCACAAACTCTAAATCGTTATGAAGCAGAAGAAAAAACAGCATGGAACAACCAGAAAAGAGCATCATATATGAACCTAAAAGGCTTAACTCTTTTTGTGATTAACACTTGATTAATCCCAAAAAGAAATTAAATGTTGCAGTAAATCAAATGTTATTTTTTAAAACCTGTGTTGTGCAGAAGGAAAAGGACTGCACAGAAAACTAACCTTTGGCAGGCTTTGGTGGTGCAGTGTTTAGCGCACACAACCCATGTATAGAGGCCTTAGTCCTTGATGCAGGCGACTCGGGTTCGAACCTGGCCTGTGGTTTTTTCCTGCATATCTCTCCCTCTCTCATACCCCCTTACCTGTCAGCCTACTGTCCATAACAATGGGGCACCAGTGCCATAAAAAAAAACATGTTTAGTAGGTGATGATAGCTGTACGCAGGAAGGATCTTCTGTAGCTGTCTGTCTTGCACCAGATCTGGAAAAGCTTCTGACTCAGGATACCCTGTTGCTGTTTAAAAAAAAACTTCTGAAGAGGATTCTCACTGTTGTCCATAATGTTCTTCACTTTATCAAGGATCTTTCTTTATGAAAAAGTTTAATGGGGTTCTAGAGGAGTTGTTAGAAGCTGAGCTGGCCTTCTTAATTACCTTGTTGAGCTTTTGTAAGTCATTAGCTCTAATATTGTTACCCCAGCAGAGGATGGAAGAAGAAGAGACCACACCCTCCACAACAGATTTATAGAAGATATGTAGGATGTTGCTGCAAACGCAGAAGACAATCTGCTCTTTCCATTCTTGTAGATGGCTTCAGAGTTGTGTCGCCATTCACAAGTCAACCATTTGGGCTGTGTGACAAGGTAACTTAGCATTCAAACTAGGGTAATACTTGTTATTCCAACCCTAAAGAAAATGTTGGTTAAACAGTAATTATTGCAACTATTTCTCCGTTTTGATCAGGCAGCAGGCAGATCTTCAAATGGTGCCAGTTTTCTTTTTTCAAACCAAAGATTTTTAATGTACAATTAAACTACTTTATTTAGTCAAGCATACAATGGCTACTTATAAAACTACAAATGCATTGCTTTTCTTTTGGACAAAAAAAAAACAAAAAAAAAAAACAGCTAAAACTCAATAACACTTACTTGCTGCTTTAAGAGCTCTCAGTAAAGTTGTACTTGGAAACCTCAGGAGTTATTGTGGGGTTATAAAAAGGCTAGAACCTCTACAATTAGCTTTATCTGCTACATCCATGGGCAAATAACAGCATGCTCTGTGTCTGTGGTTTGATGTAAAAATGTAAGTGACTGCATCAAGTGTTTTATTATTGTTTAACTTAAACTGATGTATAAACAGTCAATCTTTAAATGGACCTAAGGTTCATTAGGAATGGCAGTAAGTAGTACAATAATGACATGATGCTACGATTGACTCTGGAGCAGGCACGATCACAGTCAGACAAAGGTAAGTCATTTCAGAGGTTTATTTTCTGGAAAAACACAGAGTTTGGTTGTCCTAGAAACGGGGCCACCAGGGTGGTTTAGATTGGATCATTCTGGGGGAAGAGATTCAGTGAGAAATGCGGCTTCAGGAGGAAGCTTAGATGTGAGAAAAGATTGTGCAGGCCTTACAGTTTTCATAAGCGGGGATTTGTCCGGGGGGGAACCTGAGTCTTTCAGGCATAGTGGGAATCCAATCGGGCGGCAGTGACTCACTTTTCTTTCTCTGATGGGTGGTCAGGCAGATGACCTCTTTGGATGGATTCAGGAGGCAGTGAGGGAGATGGACTCTGAAACAAAGGAGGACAAGGATGGTAAGTTCACACCAAAAAAAAAAATCAGAATGAGAGGAGCAGGTGGGTAAGTTACCACGGTGTGGAAGTTAACCAACTGGCGTCCATCCTAGAAATCCACTCCTCTAAATAATGCCTCCTGATTGCAGCAAAGTGGCATCATCTGGAAACTCATCCTGCCAAACACACCCTGAGGAGAAGGTCAATCACAAGCACCCAACACAGAGACCCAACAAATAAGTACAGTCCATTATGTTGGTGGTGTCTAAACTCTGTCATAATTTTCTCGCTTATATAAGAAGTTGCTTATGCCATGTTAATTAAGGGTATAGAGGGATCTTTTATTTCGGGGTGGATCATCTGAATAATTGGTCCTCCTAATTGTCAATCATTCTGGTGATATGTTTATGTAAGGCCGTCCAACATGCTGGTCCTAATACCTATCCTTTTCTGCATGTACACGTTCAGGAATACATGTGTGGTGAGCTACTGTTTCAGACAGTCATTGAAGCTCACATTTCTAACCCCGGTTCTTTGAAATTGGCCGAGGGTCCTAAGAGAAAACGTGAATGATGAGAAAAAATAAGCCCTCAGAATGCTTTAAGCGGAGAGCTCTCCTCGCAAAGCATTATGGGATTTGATGTCACACGGGACCGCTGTCGCTACCTGACAGTGCTGACTAATAACAAAGATGGCACAGGCATCACGCGGTGGAGGAGGAGTTACGTTACCAGCGGGGAGCAAAAAGCAGTGATCATTTGTCTGAACGGTCAGTTACAATAACTGAGTTTGCTATAAAGTCCACTAAATTGTTCCCGCTCTATATATTGATGGTGGGTTTAAGGGGTTAAGGTGGATGTTCAGACAAATTAAGCTTGTATGAGCTATGTGAACAGCAACTTTTAAACAGAGCGTGTATGTGGAGAAATAGGCTCTTGCATGCTCTTGTACGTGTTTAATTGGCATTCACTCTCAGGAGTGGGTACAGGGTTCTTTTTAAAGTGGAGAGGGCACGTCTATAAAAAATTAGCGAAAATTCTCCACAATACGTTTAATGTAACAATGGTAGTGACACTTATGTCAATATCTAAATCTTTGCAGCCAACTTTTCTGTGATTATCAAGAAAGATTATACATTCATAATTCCACTCATTTCTATATGGAACTAATTTTGTCCCATCCAGGTTCCCATAGACTAATTTACACAGAGGCATAATATATAGTATTCTGTGCTGCAAATGTAGCTTTCAGTCATTTAGACTTCGTCATTCCATTAGTTTTTTTCTTAATTCCAGTTTTTCTCTCCGTCAATGCCCTTCTTAACTAATCAGATTTATTTTATGAGATAGAAAAAAGTTTTGGATGTTATGACCAACCCAGGAGTCAAAACTAAAATGTCCGTGAGCCTGTTGCTCTCAGAGGCGATCACGACCTTGTCCAATATCTATAGCCCTATAGATTAAATAAACAACATGCATTGTAACACCCTCTGCTGTCAGAGGTAGATAGAAACCAGAAAGAAAGTTGAAATATGAAAATAACTACATTTATCTGGACATTTTTCAGGATTAATATTCAGACAAGCATATCTTTCAAGTAATACTATCCGGGAAACCTCCTGGTAGATACCCGACATAGCGATGTTATCACCTCA